CATAAGAGAGAGGAAAGAAAGAAGGCAACACCCATCCTTCCTGTGGAGTCAGGCAGGATTCGTTGTCTCTGTGGCAAAAGGATTAAAGAGCTTGCCCCTGTATTATATATATTTCCAAGAATTCTGAGAAAGAAGAAAAAAGATCAGCAAAGAGAAGAGAAAATATGCCACCCTGAAAGCTATACACACAGGTGCATGCATACACACACACACCACATTCTCCCCCCTGCTGCACCCCCCCCCCACCGGCCACACACACGCTAGTCGAGATGCTCCACTTTTCATTTCTCTAATATTCCTAGATGATGGACCCACGTGTGAACTGTTCAGTGATTTGCCACTATTTTGTATGCTCTACAACATCTTGGCTTTTCTTGAACAGGTATTCTCCCTTTATTTGGCATTCACTGCTCTTTGATTAAGCACTAAAGGGTAGCCTTACCCTATCCTTAAGAATAGGCTCATGGGAAGATATTCTTTTCTACTCTCAGCCTGATATGGCCCTTCCTTTTCTCATTCAGGAAATTGACCTTTCTCTGTCAGGAATTTATTCTCAACAGCAATAAAGAGCTTTAATGCTAGACTGAACAGCACTAAATATCTAGGAATATTAGCAGAAATGAAGGGGTGCATCCGTACTGGTAAGTGTGTTTATTTGTGTGTGTGTGATATGCAGTGTGTATGTATATGTGCATGTATGTGTGTGTGTGATGTGGTGTGTGTGTATGTGTGCATGTATGGGTGTGTGATGTGGTATGTATGCGTGCATGTGTGTGTGTGTGATGTGGTGTGTATGTACATGTGCATGTGTGTGTGTGATGTGGTGTGTATGTATGTGTGCATGCGTGTGTGATGTGGTATGTATGCATGCATATGTGTGTGTGTGATCTTCATGGAATAATAACCCACTTCTGAAATTCTAGTCAAGTTAACGCTGGCTTAGAGCTGATTCCATTACATAAGGATAACCAGAATCTGTGTTGCCCAGATGTAGCCTATGGATTTTTCTTTTTTCATTACAATACAGGTATTGATCGACTTACCACCTATGCAACTTAACGACCATTCGACTTTACGACCACAATCGCTAGCCATGACTGCTCCGTGTCTGGCAGCGCAAACGTTGCCCAGCTGGGCGTACAACAGTGCAGACCAGCTTCCGGCAGCACTACCATCTCCGCGTGCACCATTTCAACTGTACATATAGCCTACTCAACTTACGACCAAATCGTGTTACGACCGGTCCACGGTCCCAACCATGGTCGTAAGTCGACCACTAACTGTAGTCTGTTAAACTAGTATCAAGATTTTATGAAACATGGTTTTTGTGTAGTGCCTATTCAATGTTCAGCATTGGAGGAGAAAGCAAGACTTAAAAAGAAACAGGCCAGGCATGGTGGCTCACGCCTGTAATCCCAGCACTTTGGGAGGCCAAGGCAGGTGGATCATCTGAGGTCAGGAATTCATGACCAGCCTAGCCAACATGGTGAAACCCTGTTTCTACTAAGAATACAAAAATTAGCCAGGCCTGGTGGCAGGTGCCTGTAATCCCAGCTACTTGGAAGGCTGAGGCAGGAGAATCGCTTGAACCTGGAAGGTGGAGGTTGCAGTGAGCTGAGACCATGCCACTGAACTCCAACCTGGGTGATAGAGTCAGACTTCACCTCAAAAAAGAAGAAAAGAGTGTTATGGGAGATTCAGTAAAGCACACAATATGTCTTAGCCCAGATTTCAATACCTGCAAGAATCTAACTTGAAGAAGGTGTGCTCTGTTACAAGCCTTGAAAAACAGGCAAGTTAATGGTGTAGAAAAGTAGTCTGAATCTAATAAAGAGCATTTAGAAAGCTCCAGAGGCCAGAGAGAGCTGTGGTCCCATGGAAGGCACTTCAACACGACTGTGGCATGAGAGGGCAATGGGGAGGGATGGGGCAGGAGAAACTGGCAGAAACCTTATATCTTGAAGGGCCTTGCAGGGCATTCCAAGGTATATGGATCTTACCCTCAAAGGACTTTGGAGGTTTGGGAGTAACGCAGACAAGTTTTACCTAAAGAAAGGTCACGTAGCTTGCACCGTGGATAATGGATGAACTGCTGGGGGTTAAACAGAAGGCAGAGCGATCCATCAGGAGATGGGAGATGACAGTGGCTTGAACTAAGGAAGTGACAGAGCAGATAGGAAAAAGTGAGAGGATTAAGTAGGAACAACCGACAAAAATTGATTACTAACTTGACATGGATGATGGGGGAGAGGTCCATGTTTCTGTTTTGGGCAAATCCTTGCATGGTGGTGGGAAGGTAGGAGATAGAGCCGGTTGAGAAAAGAAATGAGAAAGTGGAGAGTTCGGTGTGAGATATAAATTAGAGGAATCTCTGGACCATTCACATGAAAATGCCAGGAGGTCACTGGGTCTTGAGCTGGAGGGACACCATCAGGGAGAGAATACAGCGTTGGGAGTCATAGGCATACATTTGGTAACTGAAGCTACAGGAATGGACCAGCCACTTAAGGTGAGGTTTTCCAATGGAAAGAAAGCCAAATTTAGATGCCAGGCAAACACTACTTTTAAGAAAAATGTGGTGAGAAATATGTAAGTGAAAGAGAAGACAGCACGGTAAGAAGAAAATTACCATGGAGTGCCAGCCTGGCTAACAAGAGCGAAACTCTATCTCCAAAAAAAAAAAAAAAAAGACTTAAAAAGAAACAAAGAATCACATTTATTTTTCTTCTCTTGTCCTTAGACAAAGGATATTTCAATTTCTCTGTTTTCGAGTGTCTTCCTATGTTGGGGGAAAGAAACAAACAGCTGATTCCATAGCTGATGACCGAACCCTTTTCAAGGGCAGTTGCCAGAGGACCCTGACTTTGGAAGCAGCTGTTCCTCATTCTCCGGGAAATTTACCAGCACCAATGGGAGGTGGGGAATGGAGAACCTTCCAACCCCAGGGACTTAAATCACTCACATTTCTCCTTAGTAAATCAATGAGTAGTTTAGAATCGATTCTTATTCTATAGATTTTCTCCTCTTTTCAAGTCTTCACATGGCCTGGGGGAGGAGAAAGACCTCCACAAAACCAAATACACAAACCGCAGAAATGTGCGGCTTTCACTTTTGAATAATATATTCCAAAAAAGACTTTATCTCTTACCAAACTGTTGTTTCTCAAAACCACCCAAGTGATATCAATTATAAACTTCTGAAATTGTCCTGGGTAGGATTTTCCTGCACTCAGGATTGGATTGACTCCCTAGAGCACATTTGATGCTCAGGATGCCAGGAACTGGGTTTCTTTCTAAATGTTGAGCTAGGGTTGGGAATCCCAGGGTGAGCAAGACAACTAGGACTTCTCCCTGTTTCCACCCGCTCCAGAACAGACACCAATCTTGGATATTCATCTGAAATACCTCCAGATAACACAATACTTACAGCCCCTGCTCCAAAATGGTTGGAATTCCCCAGAACACCAGGAGGCTGGCCGTGCCGGGAGCCTTATTTCACAGACCCTTCTATGTGTGCTCCAGGCTCAGTCACAGAGCCTGAGTGATAGGCTTCTCAAAACAGGTGGGGCTGCTGGTCAACCTCCCACAGCCTGGGCAGTCCATTAGCAGAGTGGTTAAATAGAGAAAGCCTGGGTTTGGTGTTCAACCATATTCTTCTCCTGGGACTCCTTATCCCATCAGAGACTCCCAGGTGTTCAGAGGCACCTGCTTTTCTGACCATTGAGGCTCCCTCTCCATCCACCCTATACTCCAAATTAACCCTTCTTCCACACACCACACTAATTTCTCTTTAAAACATGCCTTCCTTGATCAGCAATTTTGAGCCAAATATTGACCAACTTAATGCATTATCCTTTTGTCAGAGAATTTTCATTTTAATGAAGGGAATGTTTTACAAATCAGAATAAAAAGACTAAGATTAAATCTAGGTTGTTCCAAATACCAATAGTATTGGGGCCAAGAGGGAAATGGCAAGAAGATAGACCAATTCTGAATATGTGAAAGGCCTTTCTAGGAACGTGAGATGTTCAGAAAATGGGAAGCAGTGCTTTGAGAAGCGATAAGATACCCATCACTCTACCACGGGTATTTTTGTTTTGGTGAACTTTTGACTGGTTGAATTCTACAATTGTGATTCACAGTATCAGAAGCACATGCCAAGCAAACTACTAGGATGCCTTTCAGAGGTCCTTAAAAATGGTACAGGTATTCACTTGATCTGAAGAAGAGGGAATGACATGGAGATTTCTAAAATTTATTCTTTTATTGAAAAAGTCTTAGTGTCAGGGACTGCCTGGTACTAGATGATACAATAATGAATAACTGAAACACATCCCTGCCCTCAAAGGGCTTACAGTCCAATGAAGGACAGAGACAGCAATAGGCAACTGCAATATAATTCAAGTAGAGGGTTTTTAGGATGTTGGTGGAACCTAGGCTGGAAACCTACCACAGCTGCAGCCACAGCCACAGACTCAGTGGTGGGGGAGTGAGTCAGGGAAACTTTTCTTTAGGAGGCAAGGTCTAAGGTCAGTCTGAGAGACTAGCTGGAGGAGTTATTCTGGGGAAAAGAATATGCCCTAAACAAAAGACAGGTTATATATGTTTACTAATAGTTACTATATTTGTGACCAGAAGGGTTTTTTCCTCATGTCTGGTGGAAAGGAAGAGAGATCTTCTATATTAAGGGATGAGAGGCAATTTATGTTAAATAAGAGACATTTATTTGTCTTCTAGAGACTACTTGAAAAATACCAAAGGCTTCAGCTTAATTCCACCACATCTTCCAGGTAGAACCTCCACGTGTGTGGATCTACCGGGACCTTCCCAGATGTAGCAAGGAATATGTTCCACTGAGTCGGGAGGACAGAGGATAGAAAAGAAGGAGAAAGAGGGAAGGAAGCTACAGGAGAAAGGGTCTCCCAGGCTTCAGCAGAAGCTGAATCCACATGACCAAATGGCAACCCAAAGGGGAAAACCTGAAGGAAAAATGTGGGTGTATTCAGGACCAGCCATTAAGAGGGCTTTTCTATTTCTGGTGATGTATTGTCCTTACATGGCCACAGGGGGCACAACAGTGTTCTCCTTATCTATTGCTGTGCCATCTGTCACCCCAAGACCTAGTGGCTCAGGACAACAATTACCGTTATGGTCTCTCACGTGTTGGGGATGGACTGCGCTCAGCCAGGCAGCTCTTGCCAAAGTCTCTTACGCAGTTGCTGTCAGATGATGGCTGGGTGAGAGTCGTCTTCACTCACTTGTTTGGCAGTTGAGGCTGGCTGTCAGCTGAGATCTTAGCACGGTCTGTTGGTTGGAACACTTACTTGTGGCCTCTTAATGTGATCTGGGTTTCCTCACATATTGGTGCCTGCATAACAGAAATGAACTTTATGAGGTCCAGGTGGAAAGTGTATCACTTTTTATGATCTACTTTGGCAGTTAGCATCACTTTCACCATAGTCACAGGCCCTCCAGATTCAGGAGGGGTGAGAAAATGAACACCTGTGTGTGTGTATTTACTTGTGTATACTTAAGTTGTACAACATGATGCTTTATACGCATATCCATGGTGAAATGATTACTGCAGCCAGCAAGGTAGCATATCCATTATCTCTCGTAGTCACTCTGAATCTGTATACTGCTTTGGGGAGAATGCACATTTTAACAATATTAATTCTTCCAATCAATGAACACGGATTTTCCCATTTATCTGTGTCATCTTCAATTCTTTTATCAACGTTTTATAGTTTTCAGTATACAGATCTTTCACTTCTTTGGTTAAATTTATTCATATGTATTTTATTCTTTTTTATTTTACTGTGAGATTGTCTCCTCGATCATTTTTTTCAGATAGGTCGTTAGTGTAAAGAAATGAAACTGATTTTTGTATGTTGATTTTGTATCCTGCAACTTGACTGGACTCATTGATTAATTTTAAAAGTTTTTTTTTTTTTTTAAGTTTTGGGATACATGTGCAGAACATGCAGGTTTGTTACACAGGTATACATGTGTCATGGTGTCTTGCTGCACCTGTCAACCCATCATCTGGTTTTAAGCCCTGCATGCATTAGGTATTTGTCCTAATGCTCTCCCTCCCCTTGCCCCATGCCTCCCCGACAGGGCCTGGTGAGTGATGTTCCCTTCCCTGTGTCCATGTGTTCTCATTGTTCAACTCCCACTTATAAGTGAGAATATGCAGTGTTTGGTTTTCTGTTCCTGTGTTACTTTGCTGAAAATGATGGTTTCCAGCTTCATCCATGTCCCTGCAAAGGACGTGAACTCATTCTTTTTTATGGCTGCATAGTTTTTTATAACAGGAGAAAAAGATGGACTATACATTTTTATGGAAGCAATTTCAATATCTTGTAGGAAGTGCATGCAGGATGAAATGTATTGTGCCAATGTCTTTGGAAAATATAATCTGCCACACAGAGGGATTATATTTGGATGGAAATTACATTACAAATTGCAGCAGAATTGCAGCACAAACCATGGTATTAACTGCTACCTGCCTGTCAGTAGGGCAGGTGTGCCTGGGATAGTATTTTTTTTTTTTTGGACTCTGACCCTCTTCTTTTGTCAACCAGGGGCTTTCCATCTTCTGTCTTCCTGTTGCTGCTTTTCAATTCTACCTTAGTCTATGGTAGAGTCACTTCTGGAAACCAGACTGATAAGAGGTAATATGGAGTAGTTTGAGGAGCACTGTATTTTTAGATAGAAAGACCTGGGTTTGTTTCCTGGGAGGACCATTTTCCAGCTCTGTGGCTTTGGGCAATCTACTAAACTCCTGAGCTTCAGTTTCTCTCTTTGAGAAGTTGGGGAAATAATAGTACCTTCCCGATAGGGCCATTGTGCATAGTAAATAAGACATAATGCAAGGAGAACAGCTGGAACAGTGCAAGCACCTTATAAATATTCCTTTTATTAGCTGACACATTAGCTGATAGATACTCTTAATGTCCTTTGAAATGTTTACATTTCAGTCTCTTACAGCAATGGTCTCCAAAATTTTAAATCATGCACTTTGGTCAGAAAAATGTTTCATCCATGCACCTTCAATATGTGAATATTTTACATACGTAATTTTTATGCATATGGTATAGTACCGTCTAATTCACATAACATACTCCCAAGTACCTATTAAACAGGATTAGTTAAAATACATAGAAATTCTCATATTGTATCCCATGCCATGGTAAATCTGGTATTCCTCTTCACTTTGATGAGCATGTCTTAAAAGCAGATCAGTTTTAGAGGAGTATCTATAACCATATTCCTGTGTCTGTAAGTAGCTGGAGACAGATATAAAGAGAGAGAATGAAAGAGAGAGATAGCCAGAGAGAGGAAAGGCAGAGGGAGGAAGAGGAGGAATAGGGAGAGAAAGAGGTGAAGGAGAAAACTTTTGGTTTTCACTTTATATGGTTCTGTAATGCTTAGATGTTTTAGTATAATAAACATGTATTACTCTTAACATTAAAAAAATTACAATGCAGGAGTTTAGTTTGACCTCAGTCACTGCATATCTTAATACGCTATTTCTTTCCCATTGAAATTGTTCCAAATATATACGCCATGTGGAAGTCTTGGGAAGGGTAATTCTTCCCTGAACTTCACCTGGACTAAGAGAGCAACTGCTCTCTGTAACATCTTACCCTTCCCGACACTTTGGAGGTAGGAATTTATAGACCTCTGTGGTTTGAGGAAGGAAAAAGAATTTCTTTTGCACAGAGTTTTCCCTGGAAGACTCTCTTGTTTACTGAAATGCTCTTTCCTCTACAGCTGTGTCTGTCTCTCCCTGGAAAATTCTCCACCGTGAAGGAAACTCCTTTCCCTGAGTGCGTACTTGGCCAAGCTGGTGGGTTTTGTTTGTTTTTTTTTTTTTTGTTATTTTTTTTAATGCACATAGAACATGACCTATACCTATACCTGCACTGTAGTTATTGGAAAATACGGTATGATGTGTCTGAGTAACGTTACTGGCAAGATGAAGAAGTGTTCATATAACCTACATACACTGCCAGACTAGCATTTTATCCTAAGTGTGATGATGACCACTATGTTTATTTATAAAGTCCTGCTCAAATAATGGAAAAATGATGGTTTCTTCATGGCTACACCCTTTGAGTCAGTGCTATCACCACTGTGATGGGATAAAATTACTTTTAGTTCATGGTCGTGAAGGAATAAATCCATGTGATTCCTCCCTTTCTTAAAAGGATAACTTACATCCTGTATTTCCATGTACATGTGGTACCTCTTTGTTTTTATTAGTTGTTGATGTACACATTCTACAGTGTAACTTAATATTAACAGATAGGACTTGCTTTAGGCTTTGCAGCTCAAAAATACCTCCCCATAACTTCTACTTATAGATTAATTTGAGTTAGGATGGCTATTTTAAAATACAAATGCCATGCTGGGTGGTAGGTCCCATTTACCTTTTAGTAGAAATTATTTAGTTAAATAATATGCAGGCTATAGTCTATCGGCTCCATAGATCTATTTTTCACCCTTCTCCACCTGCTTCATGCCCTAGGATACTGGCTTTCTTTGGCTACATCTGCCTTGTACAGGTTTGGCCAATTGGCAGCACTGGAAGGAGGTTAAAGGGTAGGAGGAGAGAGACTCGGGTATCTATTCCCCTGGTCACTTCCCTGCTGGGCTATGGCTTGGCACTGACTGTGTTCCTCTACCTAAGGCCACAGCTATCACCTGGCCCTGCTAACTGCTTCCCCCAATCCCTGATCCCTCCTGCTGTCCATGTCCTTCGGGTGCTTTATTATCCTTTGTTGATTTCCTTTCTCCTGCCCACATCTTTGCAATTGTCTCTTTGCCAAATGTTCTCCAATCATCTTTTTTGAGTGTGTCATTTGTTTCCTGATAGAACCCAGACGAATAGAATAATACCTTTACAAATGGCCTCAGGAAACAGAACCCTAAAATGGTATTGGGATCATATTATGTGGTAGGCAGAATAATGGCCTTCCGAAGATGCCTGTGTCCTAATCCCTGGAGCCTGTGAATAGATTATGTCACATGGCAAAGGGGAATAAAGTTTGCAAATAGCATTAAGGTTTCTAATCAGCTGACCTAAAGATAGCGATTATCTTGGTTAACCAGGTTTGGATTACCCAATGCAATCAAAAGAGTCCTTAAAAGTGGAAGAGGGAGGCAGGAGAGTCAGTGCCAGAGTGACATGATGTAGGAAAGACTGAATGGCCATTAGTGGCTTTGAAGATGGAAGAGCCACAGAAAGCAGGAGCCTCTAAAGATGGGAAAGGCATCAAAGCAGATTATCCCCTATGGTCTCTAGAAAGAATGCAGTCTTTTAGACACCTTGATTTTAGCACAGGGGGACCTATATCCAGACTTTTGACCTGCACAGCTGAAGGAAAATAAATGTGAGTTGTTTTAATCCAATAAATTTGTACTAATTTGTTACAGCAGCAATAGAAAACAGATACAAGTTGCTAACATATTTAATGAGAACATGGAGGCTTCTTGACATAAGGAAATGAGATATGGATAATCCATGGTATGTTATTCAAATCATTCCTAGTAACAGAGATTAGGATGCAATGCAAGAAGAGGGCAAGTTGTGGAAAGATCAATTAGTGAGGGTCCTTAGTTTCTACAGTGACAATGGTAATTATCAAGATTGTGCTGTTTCTGTGAGTCCTAGATAATGTACACAGATGAAAGGAAAATCTAACAGCTTCATAGGTCCATTCAGGGCACAAGAATAATATTAGAAAACTGGCCGGGTGCGGTGGTTCGCACCTGTAATGCCGGCTCTTTGGGAGGCCAAGGTGGGTGGATTGCCTGAAGTCAGGATTTGGAGACCAGTCTAGCCAACATGCTAAAACTCTGTCTCTACTAAAATACAAAAAAATTAGCCGGGCCTGGTAGCATGCGCCTGTAATCCCAGTTACTTGGGAGGCTGAGGCAGGGGAATTGCTTGAACAGGGAGATGGAGGTTGCAGTGAGCTGAGATCGCACCAACAGTCCAGCTTGGGTAACAGAGTGAGACTCTGTCTCAAAAAAAAAAAAAAAAAAAGAAAGAAAGAAAACCTTAATGGCATCTTTAAAAGAGCTGTTTACCAACGATCTTGAAACAAATCTGAGTGAGGACCAGTCCAGCATCTGAGAACTGCATCAATGTCTGTTTTGTTACGGAGCAAAGAGTAGAAACTTGAGACATAGGATGGGAATATTTAGGGGAACACAGGCAAGACTAAGACCTTTGAACTCCCAAATTGTCTCAAAACTTTCCTGCAAATACAGAACCTCATCCAGCAGAGGGGCTGGAGAGCATGGGCTGGAGATGACCTGTGCTGGGGACACACGTTTTTCACTCAGATAAGAGGATAGGGAAGTGTGTCTCCAGGTTGAATATCTACCTTTCTGCAACCTGCTTTTGTCCTTAGACATTGACCTGTATGGACAGCATCAGCCAGACTTCTTTGTCTTTAGCTTACGGTTAGGTTTGGCCAATTCACGGCACTGGCAGGAAAATAGAGGGTGAACTGAGAGGGCACAAACAGGGTATTTATCCACCTGGCTCCCACCTTGCTGAATCTCTGTTGACTGTGTCTGCCACAGCCACTGATTTAGAAACAGCTACAGAGGCCAGCCTTGTTGGACAGCCCGTTCCACAGCTTGCTGCTCTTTGTAGCCCTGGGGCCCTTCACCCATCCCTTGTTCATCTCCATCACCCTGCCCTTGCTTTTCTAATGAGCCTTGCATTAAACTCTCCTCAAACACCTCTTTTTTTTTTTTTTTGCCAGAACCGTGACTGATATCATCATCATCATCATCACAGCGGACATTTATTGAGCACTTATGTGCCAGACACATGCCCAAACACCATCCATAAATTAGCTTATTTTATCCTCACCATAACTCTGTGAGATAGATGACTATTTTTACTCCATTTTACAGATCAAAAAAATTAAAATTGGCACGCAGCTTACCCAAACTCATCCAGCCAGTTAGTGCCGAATTGAACCCAGTCTCTAGAGTTAGAGGAAGCCTAGTAGCATCAGGATCGTAGATAGGTTTTGAAGTCTGGAGAGACTCAGGTACAAATATCAGATGTTGACATGAGCCAAGACACTTAATTCCTCTGAGCTTAGGTTTCTTGATTCCTAAGATGGGAGCTACATTCCTTCTGTCAGTTAAAAGTTCTTTGTAACAGAGGCAATACTGCCCAATCAAAATTACAGGAATCCAGAGAGTTCTAAAGGATCCAGGTAGCAGGCACTAATGAAAACATTCTTTGAGCTCTCTAGGTTGTCAAATCCACAATTTTCTATTCATTCCCATTCATTAGAAATTCTAATTCACAATTAGAATTTCCTGAAGTGCCTAACTGACGTTGGTCACTCGGGTTATTTGTCCACACATTTTATCAGGTAGGATAGGGCACCAAGTCTGCATTCAGTATGGTGGGTGAGTCTCCCTCAGAAAACTAGTGTTATTCTAGATGGAAAAGAGGTAAGCACTGCTGTGAATGCAACAAGTAAATAAATACACAGTATAAAACTTACTTTCATGCTTCCTGCAAAAAGATAATCCAGGCAAATGCTTGGCACAGGGTTCAGATTTTCTCTTCCTTCCTGCCAGACTGTTAGGAGAATAAGATTTGGGTTGTAACGGGAGGAACAGTGATAGAAAGCATTTATGCTCCGCTGGCTGTACTGCTGATAGTTTCTCACAGGAACTATTAGGTGTCTATTCTCCTGTTACACCCAGTTAAAGCCTCCAGTCTTTACCCCGTAATGCCATGCTTATATGGACTTCTCCCTACTGTCCGTAGGCTTCTTCCAAGGCATGTCAGTGTACTGCCTCTCCCTCATCTGATCCATTTTTTTTTTCTTTAAGATTCTTTTCCTCCCCAGCATTTTATTTGGAAAATTTTCAAACAGGAAAATTTTAAGAATTAGACAGTGAACACCCATAAACATACCATCTAGATTTTACTATTAATATTTTAGTTTATTTGCTTTTTTGCATTTCCATCTGTCCATCTAGCCAGCTATGTATGCATTTAAGCTCCTGTTTGACAACATTGTTTTAATGAGTTTACAAAGATTTTTTAGAAAGAACTCAAATCTCATATATCAATGTTAGCAAAGAACCAACTGAAAGGAGTCAGCAACTCTTAGGGGATGGACAAGTTTCCTTAGTTAATGCTGTGAATAGAAGTCTTTAAAGCATTTATTTATCACAAAAAGTAACCATCTGTTCTTGATGATGGCTCCTATCATTTCTAACTATGTTTTTAAAAGAGATTTTTCTGAGAGCTGCTTTGGAATGATAGAGAAGAGTTCTTAGGAAAAATTCACTGGCTGAAGTGACCCCAAACCAGAGGAGTATCTGGATGGAGCATGTCTAGATAATAATAAAAACGGGTTTTGAAAAAAATGCCCAAAATATGTTCCAAAATCACCAGAGATTTTTACATCTGATCATCAAATCCTAAAGGAGTCTGGGATCCTAGCATGCGAAACTTCCAATCTTGAGAATCAGATAAGCATCTCGACTCCTGGAGATGATTTAAATACTAAGATAATTTTCACATCCCAAGTTGCATTAGATTCTCATGGGACTAGGTTTTACTATGAGATTTGTGGTTCTTGTTTGAGCACCTAAATTCAAGATTTAAGCATTAGAGTTCTTGCTGATTTGCTTACTTTTGAAAGAAAGTTTTGAGTAAGTGCAAAGGGGATAAAGTGGAAGAAACACACCACATCCATTTTAGAAACATAAACACAAGTCAGTTTACATTCACCTCTAAAATATGGAGCATCTATTGTTGGTGCCATCTGTTTATGCTGTGGGATGTGGACATGGGACTTCATTGCATGCATTTTATCTTGATGGATGAGTAGGAATGGAAGGGTGTGTTTGGGGAGTACCATAGGGAAGGTGGAATTAACAGGTGGCCAGGGAAAGCTTGCTAAAACAAAACAAAACAAAAACAGAAAAAGGAGATTGAGGAATATCCCACTAGTAGGGGAGAGAAGGTCTGATCTGTATTGCAAAGAGGACTGGAATGCAAACATAATCCCAGGACATGTCAAAGAAAAGGAAGTGATATGATTTGGCTATGTCCCCACCCAAATCTCATCTTTAACTGTAGCTCCCACAATTCCCTCACATCATGGGAGGGACCTAGTGGAAGGTAGTTTCACCATGGGGGCAGGTCTTTTTCATGCTGATCTCATGATAGTGAATAGGTCTCATGAAATCTGATAATTTTATACAGGGGAGTTCCCCTGCACATGCTCTGTTGTCTGCCACCATGTAAGATGTGCCTTCACTCTTCTTTTGCCTTCTGCCATGATTGTGAGGCCTCCCCAGTCATGTGGAACTGTGAGTCCATTAAACCTCTTTCCTTTATAAATTACCCAGTCTTGGGTATGTCTTTTTTAGCAGCTTGAGAACAGACTAATACAGGAAGTAAAGATGAAAAGTAGGTAACAGTATCGGAGAGAAGCATGGAAATTCCTAAATAAATGAATACAGATCAAATGGAGAAGAGATATTTGTGAATTCAGCTGGAAAATCCTCAAGTAACCAGGCATAATGTGATAAGGCCTGGCCTGGGGTCTGGGATATGATGAAATAGGGATGGGTACTAGAGATTTTTGGTCTGCTGGTTATCTACCTACACGTTTTTAACCCTTCTCCTCAGCTCTTCCAAGTAGTGCCCCACATTATTGTTCAAGTATTCACCTTGCCCTCATGCTTCATGTTATATACCTGGGAAGAAGCTGTTCTCACCCAAAGCTCTATAGATGGGTTCTGATTTGCTTCAGCTGATCAACACCCAGTGCCTAGCCATGGTCATTGATTTAGAGATGGCTATGTGACCTTTACTGAAATGATTTACAAGAAAAGTATCTCTCCTGGATGGTTTTCTCTGTGGGTGTAAAGCCTGAAACAGCTGAGCCACATTGACATGATCGGGGAGACAGCCTTAGGATGAAAGGCAGAAAAATCCGCTCATTGAGGACAATACTGAGCCACTAGATCAAACTTTTCTGAAGTTCAAACAACTCCAGAACTTATCAAATCTGACCTCATCATTAAGTAGCTAGAAACTGGTCATAATGTTGTTGTAGCCCAGAAGGTATTACTAGCATAGTTAATAGTGGAAATTTTACTCCCATATTAGAAAATAATCTCCAACCGTATTATTCAGCACACAGAAAATGCTCAATTAAAATGGGCCGGGCATGGTGGCTCACGCCTGTAATCCCAGCACTTTGGGAAGCTGAGGTGGGTAGATCATGAGGTCAGGAGTTCAAGACCAGCCTGGCCAAGATTGTGAAACCCCATCTCTACTCTACTAAAAACTACAACAAGTAGCTGGCTGCAGTGGCAGACGCCTGTAATCCCTGCTACTCAGGAGGCTGAGGCAGGAGAATTGCTTGAACCCAGGAGGCAGAGGTTACAGTGAGCTGAGATTGCACCACTGTACTCCAGCCTGGGCAACAGAGTGAGACTCTGTCTAATATATGTGTGTGTGTGTGTGCATATGTGTGTGTGTGTGTCTGCATATATATATATATATATATATACACACACATACATATATATATATTTTTTTTTTCATGATCTCTGGATATACTCCACTTCTTCCTTCTTCTATATCTTTGTTGAGGCTGCCCTTCCTGTCTGGAATGTTCTCCTTGGTGACTGTGTCTACCTGGACAACAAAGCTTATCTTTGAAGACTCAGCTCGAGTTTTCTTTGAAGTCTTTCCTGGCTGCTACTGTAAGTAAGAATCATCTTTTATTTTTTGTAAGAGATGGCATCTCACTTTGTGGCCCAGACTGGAATGTAGTAGCATGAGCATAGGCCACTGCAGTCTCAAACTCTTGGGCACAACTGATCTTCCCACCTCAGCCACCTAAGTAGCTAGGACTACAGGCATGTGCCACCAGGCCCAGCTAATTTTAATCATCTTTTTTTTGTAGATACAGGGTCTCACTTTGTTGCCTAGGTTGGTCTCAAACTCCTGGCTTCAAATGATTCTCCCACCCTGGCCTCCCAATGTGCTGGGATTACAGGTGTGAGCCACTGTACCCAACCAGAAGAATCATTTCTCATTTATCACTCCCCCCACATCTGTACAGTCTTCTGCTATGGCATATACCTATTGTGCTTTCGGGTTTAGTCTATCATTCCTTCTATGCTGAAGATGAGAGAAGATGCCACATTCACCCTGTGTTGTATTTATATTTGTATTGCCAATTGGTTCCATGTTAAGCTCTGCCAAAGGAAGTGCTAGAATGAGGCTGCAAGACTGGAGGAGAAAGAAGAGACATGCTTCTTTTTGGCTTCTGTCTACCTTCTGTTCCCAGAGCATCACTTTAGCAATGCTTCTTTGCCTTCCTGCATCAGAAGCTGAATCAGATCTGCAATTTCTCCACCCATTACAGAACCAGCATCGTTATGCATCCCCCACCCCTAGACAGACACCAGCATGGGCCAGCACCCTCTCCTCAGAGCTGCTTCCCGTCAGTGTTACCTCCATGAAATGGCAGTTTTCTTATTACATTTTTAGTTACAGAGTTAACTATATCTAGCTAACTATTCTTTATATTACATTTATTCTGTTAAAATAATATTTTTGTGGTTTCCATCTTTTGACTGAACTCTGAGACATTTGTTGAACCAAAAGGGAAATTCTTTAGCATGGGGATGTCAAATTCCGATTTCTATGAAAACACAAATGGATTTTCAAAAATCCAACAGACACAGAGCCATCAAATAAAAACTTACCTCCAAAATATTCACTGAATTTGTAACATCTTAGCAGGTAATGTTATTCAGGACAACTTTATCCTCTAGTTCTAAAATATGAAATCTTTGCTTTAGAGAACGCCTGGCTAATTTATGTCAGTCACTTTCTGCAGGGCCTAGGCTAGCTCTGTGTGACTAGTCCCACCCTGGACCGACCGCATCTTATGTTTCATTCCAGTCCTGTTGTTACTGAGTCCACTGTCCTGAGCATCAGATTATATTCTCCACAGATCTGTCCTTTCCTCCCTGAGACTGAGAGCAGCAGCATTTCCACCATTTCTGTGAATCCCCCAAAGTTCAGTAAATATTATACAAATGAACAATGAAGGAGTGAAGTGAAAAAATAGACAAGGAGAAACCCCATTTGCTTTGAGTCACCACTGTTTATTCTGTGGAAGACCTTGGACACAGTAGCACTTGATAAATATAATACAGCTGATTGAGCAACTCACCAGCATAATGTATGATCCCAGTTTCTCATGAGGACTCCTATTTTTCTACTGTTATTTGGATCTAGATCTCTTCTAAGTAACATCATTTTAATTTGCATTCATGGTGACAGAGACAGTCATAACAGAAGGAGCACGAGTATAGAGTCAGGGAAGCCTAGGTTTAAATTCTGAATCTGCCACCCACTGCCTGAATATCCTTGGGCAAATTAGCCTCTCAGAGCCTCAGTATCCCTATTTGTAAATTGGAGTTATACTGACAATAAACATGACTGAGCACTATGTGTCGGACATGTTCTAATTGTCATACATGTGCTCACTAGTTTAATCCTCACAAAAACACTGCAAGATATTTACTACTATTATTCTCAGTTTGCAGGTAAGGAGATCACTCTCAGAGGGGTT